CAACAATGTCCTTATTTGAAAAAAGAAGTTCATATCTTTAAAGAGATTAAGCATATAAAGAGATTAAGCACATCACAACAAATTTTGGTAAATCATTTATCAAAGAACTTCCAACTGCAGGTTAGAAGATGTCAATTTTCTTTGAGTATTATACCGAACATCACTACACATCAAATATTTCATTGATATCATGCAAGTTAAGAAAAAAATGTTAGTAAAATATCGTTGGTACATTATTGAACATCACAGGAAAAAAAAGATGATATCAATGTAAGACTAGACTTGGCAAAAATGAGAATACAATTTGATTTAACACTAATGAAAAAGAAAAAAAATGCATATTTTTATCACTTACAATATGTACTCTTTCTGGTAGTGAGAAACGAGCTTTTTGTGAGGTGCTTTATTCAATTAAGGTTCCTAAGGGGTACTTATCAAACATAAAAAGTCTCATATCATTGAAGAACCTAAAATTAAAATGTTTGAAGTCTCATGATTGTCATATCTTAAAGGAGAATTTGATTCTAGTGACTATTCGTTCTATTCTACCAAAGAAAGTTTGTGTGGCAATCACTAAGCTTAGTTTTTTTTTCAAGGTAATTTGTAGCAAAGTGATTGATTTTGCAAGATTACAAGCTTTGTAAAACCAAATATTTGAAATCCTTTGTGAGCTTGAGATGCATTTTCTACCATTTTTCTCTAATATCGTGGTTCATTTAACCATTCACTTAGTTGATGAGACAAAATTGTGGGTCTACATATATGAGATAGATGTATCCTGTTGAACAATATATAAAGATTTTGAAAGGATATGTAAAGAATAGAAGCTGCCTAGAATGGTGTATTGCTGAAAGATATCTAGTCGAAAAAGTTGTTAAATTTTGCAATGAATATTTGTCAAATCTAAAATCAATAGGTCTCCCAAATTTGCATCACACAAGAAGGATATTAGGGGAAGGTAGCACTGGTTGTCCACTAATAGAGGTTCCCTTACTACAATAGAATCAAGCGCACTTGTATGTTTTATAAAATAATATTGAAATTGAGCCTTATATAATTATGAACAAAGACAAACTAAAGTATAAATATCGTAAAAGAGGTGAGAATTGATTTACAAAAGAACATAACTAAAGATTCATTTCATGGATACAAGAACATGTATCTGAAGAATTGATAGAAAATAAAAATTCAATTTCAGAAAGAGTTGATGGTTATCAAAATGTCTTTGTGTTAATGCATTTTCTTACACTTTTTACTTAATTAATAACTTCACCTTTTACACAAAACAGCACGCTAACCAAAGTACAATGTAAAATAGTGGAATGACTCTTCTTGCTCAATCATTGCATATCTCCAATGCAAAGGATAGAAACCTCATTTATGCAAATATGTCATACATTGAGGGTAATTGAACACATAAAAATTGTATTACACAAAGTTTTGAGTCGCTATGTTTGAATGCAAGTAGGTTAATAACAACAATGATGTTCGGATTAATGATTTAGGTTTTATTAGAGTTAATCTTAAGATAGTGGGTTATCAAAATGACTCATTTATCCTTGCATTATAGACTCAACAAGTTTTATATATCCCTAGCCCTATTGATAAGTTATGGTCAATTATCTTGCTATAAAAGAAAAATAATATTTTCACCGAAGGTGAAAGCATGTTAGAAGAAATTGATGTTGAGGATAATACTTTCATAGGCGTAGAACACATGTCAAATAGTAATTTACTACTTGATGATGAGACTTTTATGCAAGATGGATTATAAAAAAGTATTTGGTTAAACCCGTCCTTTCATATTATATAGAGTCATAGAAAAGATAGTAAAGTTTCTTAAAAAAAAAAAAGTATACTTAATTATTAATATTTTTTCAATTCAAAACAATCTTTAAGTGGAGGCAAAATTTTTCTTCTATATATTTTGTGGTGTAGTGATATTTTAAAATTTCAAAGAATTTTACAATTTAAAGAAATCAAATAAAGACATACCATTTTCTATCATATACACAAAAATAAATAAATAGATAATTACTTGAAATTAAAGTGATTTAAGAAAGCTTTCTTTAAATAATTAAGGTTAATCATTTAAATCACCATATCTAAATGCAAAGTCAATAAATAGCATAAAATAAAAAATCATAAACATTAAGAAAGAAAAATTAATAAAATAAAGAGAGATAAAATTAATAATGTGATATTGTAGAGACTTTTGAAAGTAATCGTCTTCACCTGTTATTTTAATTTTTTATTTAAAAGAATAACCTAATAAAATTGTTATAAAATTAAAAAAAATTGTATTAAATATTGAAATGAGATAATTTATTGTAAATAATTTTAATTTATTTTAAAATTACATTATTTGCTTAAGATTTCTTATTCAATCACATTATAATAAAAAAAATTTAGTGCATCATATACGTGAGAGATTAAAAAGTTACAAAATTAAATGACAATTATGCAAAAAAAAAATATTTTATTAAAAATTTTGATAGTCACTTGAGTATTATCTTTATCTTTATATATATATAAAAGTATATGAATTTTGATATATTTCTAATTTGCAGTTTTGATATTTTTGAAGGTGCAACGTTTAAGACAATTTTGAATTTTAATATTAATAGTTTATTATTCGTAAAATGTTTAAGGAAATTTTAAATTTTAATATTAACAATTTATTATTCTTGCAATGTTTAAGGTAGTTTTAAATTTTAATATTAATGTTTATTTTAAATTTTATTATTAAAAACTGATGACTGATGAAATTAATATGAGTTTATATATTTGAAAAGTCATGCATATTACATTTTAAATTGTAACATGAATAATTAAATAATTTTAATGTTGTACAGTTAAATGCATTCCGGTCGTTACTCCTCTTTCTATATATGTTTACAGAGAAAAAATTAGGCTTCCTTAATAAAAAACTCTAGGCGTTGGATTGTTTTTCTTTTCTGCTGGTGAGGAAATTTATTTAGGTTAGGGGCAATCGCAGAGGACTAGTTCCCTAGCCCGCTGATAAGAATAAAAAAGGGATCGGCGCAGTGGATAGGCCACTCTCACTGGAAGAGCTTAGCTTATTCCAAAGCATGGGCATACTGACCTAGCCATTCTGGGATTCATTGTGGAAGCTTTACTGTGTATGCATTTTGGAATGGTCTCTACCGCTTTTCGCTCCTTACAGTTTCTAGCGAAAGGTTTCCATTCCTCCGCCAATTCCTAGCTCAGTTCGAACCAGTTAAACATCTCCATTCGAGGGCGAATACCAACCAAATCCCTTTTTTGCTCCTGCGCCAGCCAGCTAATCATCATCTTTCTCTCCTAATAAAGTCAATCAGAGAAATTAGATTATCTCATGGAGGAGGAACTTCAAGCTTATAGATAGTGGCCTAGGCGCTAAGAAGTGGCCAATATGCTTTTCACATCGTAGTTGGACAGCTCATCGAAGGGAGGAGTGGAAGCTGCTCTACTAATGCTTTGGCCAAGAGATGACTTATATCTACATATAAACTCATTTAAAGTGAGAAAGAGATATATTTTATTTGGTATATATAACAGTAAATACAGTTTGTTTGTTTGAAATAATATTCTTTCAAAATGACACCTTTTATATCAATATTTTTTGAAATACGTATGAGAAAGTGGATTGGAGGATAATAGTTTGAATTATTTATTTGTGGTTTCTTCTGAATTTAAAAATAAAAATCAAGTCAATAACATAAACATAATTTTGTTCAATAAAAAGATGAAACTGTTAGATTTTTTTAGTTGAAGTGCATAAAAGTTTTTTATTATTTAATTTAATTCTTTCATCTTCTCTTATTATTTCAGAATTCAAGGATTCATTGTATTGTTAGAAAAGATGTTGTATCAGGTTATGAAAAAATTACTGCATGAAGACAATGTATATATCATAAATTTTTTTATGATAATTACTCTTAAAAAGAAGTTACGAATCACTAAACACAAACGGAAGTTAAATTTGATGGCAACCACCAAAGTTTCGGAAGTCAAATGTCATAAAATTTCTTTTAACTGTTTTGATTTTGTCCATTCTAAAAAATTTTAAGTGGACTAGATGAATTATATATAATTGGTGAGCTCTATTTTTTCTAATTTTGGAAAAAAATCTTCAGACAATTTTAAATTTTAATATTAATATTTATTTTAAATTTTATTATTAGAAACTGATAACTAATAGAATTAATATAAATTTATATTTTAAAAAGTCATACATATTACATCTTAAAATGGAACATGGATAATCAAATGATTTTAATGTTGTAAATATAGTTAAATTGTTATATTAGACAACTAATTTTATTAAATAAATAAATATTAAATACGATAAAAAATAAATATTTAAAAAAAATAAATTATAAAGTTTTATAACATCTACTTTTAAACTTATTTTAAGCAATTAAAAGTAATATTTTATGAAAAATAATTAAGTAAAAATATAATAATATTTTTAATATATATATATATATATTTTTGCTTTTGATTACTTAAAATGTATTCTACCGGCTAATATTAACAACATTAAAATTTATAATTATAAATTTAAATAATATTTTAAATAAAATTTAAAAATTCATTATAAAATATGAAAATAATATTTATTAAACATCAGTATTTTAATTAAAAGCTAATGTATCAATTAAATAATTAAAAATTATGTGAAATAACTTTCGTATATATTTAAAGACAACAAATACGTTAGGGTCTTGTTGACTAATATTTTGAGATATCAATTAAAATTAATAAATAATAAATTTATTTATAAATTATTATGTATTTAAAATTATAAAAAAATATATTTACTAAAATTTTAATTTTAATTTTTAAACCAGTGCATTTTGTTCTGAAAATGTACGGTATTTCGAATTTATTTAAAAGGGGCTATTGGTTTTGGAAGGTTCGGAACAAATGCAGTGGGTGGTGCAATGGTTATTTGATCCAAAACGCGCAAATAATTCGGGTACCCCCGCTGTTGTCGCTTCGATATAAAACCATTCCATTTCGCGTTTTTGTTAAAGCATTCTTTACCTCTTCTCTCTCTCTCTCTCTCTACGCTTTCTGATTCGAGATCCTTCAAGGTAATTTCAATTTCTCATTTCTCCTTTTCTCTTCTGTTCCATCAACTATACAAACCTGTTCCATCTCCTGTTATTTCATTTCCCTTTTCGATACCTTGCTTTCGATATTTTTTGTTGCATGCTAGTATTTAGAGTTTTTCGCAGTTGAATTTGGGGATTGTGTTCGTTTATTCCCGTAGATGCTTTGGGCTTGCTATTGCTGTTTGAATCGTTTGATCTGAGGGTTTCGAGATCCAGATTTTCAGATCGTTCCCCTTTTCGCAATCCGCGTCGTGTTAATTTGGTGATTTTCTTTTTGCGCGATCCGTTTTCGTTTTCGTTGGCTGATTGACGGATCAAAATTCGTGTCGCTGTTTTTGTCGCTTGGCATGAGATCTGGCTGCATAGTGTGACTTTGATTTGATTCTCCGTTGACGCATTAATTTAGATTGACTTGGTTTGCTCGAAGAAATTGAAATTCTTTTGATTAATTATTTTTGGCTGAATGAATTGATTTGTGGAGATTTTGCTAAGAAAACAAGTGCAGCTCTGTTGATATTCCGTGGAATTTGTGAATTCAGGGATCCACTAGCTGAAGGAGAAATGGGGTTGACATTCACCAAGCTTTTCAGTCGGCTTTTTGCCAAGAAGGAAATGCGAATTCTGATGGTTGGTCTTGATGCTGCTGGTAAGACCACCATCCTGTACAAGCTCAAACTTGGAGAGATTGTTACCACAATTCCTACAATTGGTAATTTTCTGGACTTTGATTTTTCTTATGTTTATAATATATTATGCGGATGCGTGTGTATTTCTTCACCTATAGAATGTTAATGTGCATACATTTTCACCATTGATCCTAGGAAACAGAATAAAGTTATAGAACTTTGTTAGTTAAATAACTGATTTCAGCGGTTGTTACACCAATGAGCTTTGAAGATGAATCATACATTATTGAATATGTAAAGAAATCTTGAAAAATTGAAGACAGAACTATCAGATGATAAAGGAGAGATGTTGTTACACTATGTAATGCTTGGTTGAATCCTGGTAATCTGTTATAACAATTATTCCTTACTACATTCATGTTACTCTGATATGAACCCAGAATACAAAATAGAGAAACAAGGAAAGGTATTTATTGATTGAAAATGAACAGAGCAAGGAAGATAGGTTTCTCCTCCAAGGGTCTCTCCTTCACAAAGGGTTTATTTTTTCTACAACAGAACTAATACTGGATTCACAATTGTTACAGAACATAATGCCACTCCCTTTGACCCTTCCTCCTGTTTAGTGGCAGATCCACTTACAGTTGAGGGGAGGCAAATGACCCCCCTCAACTTTCATAAATCTTTTTAATTTTAATAAATTATTATTAATAATATATATTTTTTATATTTTGCACCCCCTAATTTTATGTTTTTGCACCCTTTATATTTTTGCATCCCCTGACCTTAGGGTCTTGGATCCGCCATCTCCTGCCCTTCCATCCTCTCTAACTAATTGTTCAAACTAACTATTGATACTAATTTAAGTACTAGTAACTAAATGACATTCTAAAGACAAGCTTTTTTCTGCAAAAAACTGAGACAGATAGCAAGATTCATGTATTTCTTAAGTTTTGTTGTTTTATTGGTTGGAATCTGGATGCTGTTGCTGACAATTTTATGTTTTCTTATTTTTGTTTCTCTCAATTATTTTAGGGTTCAATGTGGAGACTGTGGAATACAAGAATATTAGCTTCACTGTTTGGGATGTTGGTGGTCAGGATAAGGTGTGAAATTTGATCCTTATGCATTCTTGATAAAAATTTCTAGAGTTATATGTCTTGGTGATCAGTGGGTTAATGTGTTTTCTTTGTAGATTCGTCCCTTGTGGAGGCACTACTTCCAGAACACACAGGGTCTTATCTTTGTTGTAGACAGCAATGACAGGGACAGAGTTGTTGAGGCCAGAGATGAGTTGCACAGGATGTTAAATGAGGTACTAGTCAATTTAGATTGGCTTGTAGGGTCATGATATCTGATATCTTTGTTTTCATGTCTGTCAATGCTAGACATTCATCTGACATTTGGAGGGAATTTCTTTCACTTTGTATAGGTGAGGTTTACCTGTACAAGTGAAAGAAATTCTCTCTAAATGGGATAAGTCTTGGTTATTGTTGTTGTTGTTGTATAGATTAAGTCTAGGATCAGAGATAGGACTGTAAACAAGTGAAGATATAGAGTTTAAATATCTTATTAAATCTAAAAAAGGATTTTCTATTTTATAAATACGTAGAATTGGCATTGGAATTTTGTAAGGAATGAACTGTTTGAACCGAGCAGTCAGCAAATTACTGTATTGGCTATTGATTTGACTATAATGCTGCTGCTCATACTATGCTGTTAATGATGATGCAATAGTCTTCCCAATGATGTTCAGCTGCCCATAATGGGGGTTTTCTATTGATGAAGAGGAATTCATAACAGAATTTCTGTTTATAGTTACTTAATCATTTGACCTACATTTGGTGGCATTGTAATGTCCGTATAACATTGTCTGTATAATTGTTTGGTGGTATATTGTGTAAGTTAAATGGTAATCGTTAGTTCATACTATGCAAGCTCCTTGCAATAAAACTTATTTGTCGGCCTTTTTTCTTCTCGTTAACGCTACTGATAATGACATCATGACCTGAATAATAGAGGCCTGTACTGTTGCTTTGTTACTTATATGAAATGGCAATTTTTTAAATGGTATGTTTAATTATCTTTTCAGGATGAGCTGAGAGATGCAGTATTGCTTGTATTTGCTAACAAACAAGATCTTCCCAATGCAATGAATGCTGCCGAAATTACTGACAAACTGGGTCTCCACTCTCTCAGACAGCGCCACTGGTAAATATTTTGATCATGCAACCTTCATGTCCAGGACTGATAGCTATCCTGTTGAGATTTAACATGTCTTTTGTGTTTCTATCAGGTACATTCAGAGCACTTGTGCAACCTCTGGGGAGGGTCTTTATGAGGGTTTGGACTGGCTTTCCAACAACATAGCCAACAAGGTAGCTATTGATTTCTTTCTTGCGTTCTTTTTTGGGCCATTTTTGGTGATATGCTGACATTTTAGTTCATCGGAGGTGGTATCAAAATTTTAGTATGCATTAATACAAGGTTCTTGGATTTATATATTTATCCTGGTTAATGTTAACTCTAGATCTGGTTTTCCTTTCTAATTCTATGCCATCATAATCTTATATTACCTATTCATTATCCTTCCTAGCTTTATCAATTAAGAAAAGAAAATGTGACACCAACCCTTACGGTTGATTTTAAACATTCATAAGTTGTAAAATTTTATTTAGAAAATAATTATATTGAAAATACTGAAGTGTTTAGTATATACTTGCCACTTTTGGGTACTTAAATTCAGCTCCAAGGATTGATGTTAACACAACCGATTAAGGTGAATGTTTTCTGAAATTGTACTAATTTTTCTTTTCTTATGGTTATGTATCATTTCAGGCTTAATCCTTTTTCGGAGTCTTCATATGGATTGGTAATTCTGGATGCAGGGGTGAATATTATCTAGTTTGTTTTTGGTCCTCTTTTGCGACAAATTGGATTTGTATTCCATGTTTTGTGGTTTAGGACAATCTTGATGGCTAAATTTATAGTAGGATTTTATTTCATGGGATGTCTAATACTTTTGAGCTTTTTATTTGGCTTTGGATTCAATGTTTATAACTCTAATGGATACCAATTCAATGCGCCATCATCCCATTGGGTTTTTATTGTTTTATTTTTATCTTATTATAAGTATTGTAGTGATTGATACAAAAAATAAAGAAAAAAAAACTAGAAAACTTTCTCTCTAAAATTAACATTTAAAAATTCGTAGTTTATTCTTGAACACGAGCTGGATGATGCTGCCATGTTTACATCTTTCATTGACATAGTGGTCCTTGCCAAGTATCATATTTTCAGACGACCCCGTACAGTACTTATCCCTTTGTAGTTCCACTAGCGGATATTGCATCCTTGTCTTAGAATAGAAACACAGTACTATTTTCCGATTATCACCCCAAGCAGAATTTCTAGCGTGGCGCAGGCCGTTTTTGAGATTTAATGGGTGTAATACCTATCTCACTCATTCGTTTTCTTAGTTTTTGTCTCTCAGTGTCAGTGTTGGTTCAGCAGAGTGCTTTTGTCGTTAGTGTTCTTTTCGATTTTTACGCATTTCACCGCTCCATTAGAAATTCTCTCTGTTTATATATATATAATTTAAAAATATAGTTATTAAAATATGTTTAAATAATAAAGTTATTTATTAATATATTTTTAATTTTTTTATATTAAATTAATATATTATGTTATAATTTTATTTATAATTATAAGAAATAAAAATTATATTTTATTAAAAATTAAAAATATTTATACACGATTATATTTTTTAAATAATAAATTTATTTAATAATAAATTATCATATTTGTTACATTTAAATAAGTTAAAAATTAAAAATAAAAATATTTATATACGATTATACTTTTTAAATAATAAATTTATTTAATAATAAATTATCATATTTATTATATTTAAATAAGTTAAAGAGTGGTTAAATCTTTGAACAGGAATAAAACACAATTAAAATTGAATAAAATAAAATTAAAAAATAAAATAATAATATTATATTAATATATTTTTTATATTCTTAATTTTATTATTATTACTATTTAATTATTATATTAATATATTATATTTAATTATTTTTATTTATAATAAATAAAAATTCTTTAAATATGAATTATATTTTATATGAAACTAAAATTTTATAAAAAAATAATAGAAAAATAAAATAAAAATTTTATATACAATATATATGTATAATAGGACTATATAATAAATATTATAAATAATATAATTTTAAATAAATTATATATAATAAAATATATTTTTTGTAACTTAATATGTATTTTATTTTTATTATTATAAATTTTTTGAGTAAAGTATTTATACAAAAATTTTACATATTAAATACACAGCAACATACCTAAATATAAATATGTCAAATTTTAAATAATTATTTTTCAAGAATTTGATATAGACGTAAATAAATTGTTTCTTAAAAAATATAGTTATTAATATACAATCAAAATTCAATAATTAATAAATATTTACAAAAAAAGTATAAATAAAAAAATAAATTATTAATTAATTTATCAATTTATAATATATATATATTAATATATTGTATCAGTAATATTTTTTATATTATATTAATTTTATAGTGTAGTTAATTTTATGTATATTTGTTAATTTAAAATAAAAATTTATAAAATTAAATATTTTATAATTATTTTTAATTTAATAGTTATTATTATTGTCAATATATATATATATATATATATATATATATATTAAGTTTTATTACATATTTTTTGATTAAGATAAAAGTTTAGAAATATAAGTTATTTTAATTTAAATATAAATTCTATTAATTCTTACTATGCTCATATGTTATTTTTCTGCATCCTTGAATTTTATATTATAAATATTTTTTATCTATAATTTTACAATACCTATTTATTTACTTTTTTAAATATAATAATTTTCTTTTAGCTGATTCAACAAATTATGTGAGTATTATTTTTTGTTATCAATTTTATATGTTTACTCTGATTTTATTTATTAAATATAAAATGTCTTTGCACAAACAAAATATAATTATCATTAAAAAATAATTAAAATCTTTAATATTTTAATTATAGTTATTAGCATACATTTGAAATTCAATAATTCATAAATATTTACATAAATAAAAAATTAAATTATTAGATAATTTATCAATTTAAATTTTATATATAAGTATATATTTTAATTTATTATATCAGTAATATTTTTTACATTATATTAATGCTATAGTGTTATTAATTTTACGTGTATTTGTTAATTTAAAATAACAAAATAATGAAATAAATAAAATTAAATATTTTATAATTATTTTATTTTTATTTTTATTTAATAATTATTATTAGTGTCATTATATATATATATATATATATATATATATATATATATATAGACACATATTACATTGAATTTAAATTTATTTATTTTTTAAAATATAATAATTTTCTTTCAGTTGATTCAACAAATTGTGTGAATGTTCTTTTTTGTAATCAATTTTATGTGTTTACTCTGATTTTATTTATTAAATATAAGATGTCTTTAAATAAAAAAAATATGATCTAAAAAAACTAAAATCTTTAATAATTTAATAATTTTTAAAAATAAATTAAAAAATATAAATAAAAATTTATTTAATATGAAACATTTATAATTAGTGCTCAAATAATATTTTAAAAATTATTACAATTATTTAATAATTATCAATAATACAGATGAAAAGTAAAAAAATATGTAAACTAATTTGATAATAAAATATTTATATTTTTATTAATATTAAGATTTTTTTTTGTAACAAGCTTTGTTAATAAGCTTCAGGCCAGACTGAAAATAAAGTCTTTAACATGTAATAGACTAGACTCAGACTTAATAATTATGTTACAGGCTAGACTTATTTAAAGTAAAGTCTAGTCTAACCTGTTTCCATCCCTAGGTGAGGCCTTAATAAGAACATCGACTGACATTGATCAAGTTGGTTTTCATATTACGTCTTAGTTTCCAACGGGCGTCCTTATTTCGTTAAGAAATTAGAACATTTTGGAAAACGAATTATTGCCTATGTAAATCAATAGGATTATTATGCGAGTTTTATTCTAAACTATACCTTGATAATGTGTGTGAATTTTGACGATCTAACTGTTAAATCATCTTTAAAATTGTCCACAATTCACTTAACATAATTTACTACACAACTTTAACTTTTTTAAATCCTATCTGTAGTTATTTGACTTTAAACCCTAATATGTAAAAAAAAAAGAGGAGAGTTTGATTTAGTGTTAGAGGTATGTTAGTTATTTTTTTAGAGAATAATTAATAAATATTATACTATTTTTTAGTAAAAAAAATATATATTTGTTTATTATTTTTATTAAATTATTTTATTTAATATTAATTAAAAATTATATTTTGAATATAATAAAATATTTTATCAAATTAGGATGAGTCAAAATTTAAATTTGTAAATATTCATAATTATTATTAAATTTACAATTTATTTTTTACATCTATGAATTTTGTAATACTAAGTATCATATTTCTGTGATTTTTATGATAACGGTATTGTATTTATTTTTTTAACACATTAAATCTTATTTGAATAAATAATTTTGAGCATTTATATAATAGATAACTTAACAAATTTAATTAACTTGCTTTTCATTATTAAATTTGTATTTCTATCTTGAATTTAGAATATTTATTGAACATATGATTTTTTATAATAATTTTATAAAAATAAATAAATAAACACCTTTTTTAGAATAATTAATAAATATTATATTATTTTTTATTAAAATATATGTATTTATTTATCATTTTTATTAAATTATTTTATTTAAAATTAATTAAAAATTATTTTTAAATATAAAATTGTATTTTTAAAAATAAAAAATTGTATCAATTCAAAATCAAATAAGGTTGTTTAACTTGAAAAATATATTTTATTAAATTAAGATGAGTCAAAATTTAAATTTATAAGTATTTATTAATTTTTGCTAAGTTTTGAAATTACTTTTTTGTATCCATTATTTTTATGATGATAGAGTTGTATTTATTTTTTTTAAATACACTAAAATTTATTTAAATAAATCATTTTTAACATTTTGATAACATATCACTTAACAAATTTAACTAACGCTTTTCATTATAACTTTATGTCTCTATTATTATTTTAAAAATATTTATTAAACATGTTATGTTCTTAAAATAAATTTATAAAAATAAAAATAATAATATAAAAATATGAAAAAATTTACAATTAATACTAAATTAAAATTATAAAATAATATGTTAAAAAATTATTAACAAAATTATATGAATAAAAAATATTACTATAATTTAATAATTATTAACAATACAAACAAAAAATCGATAAACATGTAACCTAATTTGATAATAAATTAATATATTTTATTTAATGTTATTTAATAACAATAATTTATTCTAATATTTAATATTATATAAATAATTTCATCTATTTTTAAGTAATTTTATTTATTTATAAGTTTATAATAAAAAATATGTTTTATAAAAATTTTATTAAATTATAATAAATTTTTCAACAGTAGTTAGCCCATAGATTAGTCCTAGATTTAATTTTATAAGCTTTTTTTTACTATAAACTTCTACATTACGAGCTTTTTAGTTTTATGAACTTTTTGACCTTAATCTACATTAATTAAAGCTAATTATCTTATATCGTTTTGATGAATATGTATATTAAATTTTATATAATTTTTTATATTTTAAAAATATGTTACTAATTAAAATAAAGTAATTTGATAAATTATTTATCAATTTTATTTTTATAAAATTTTATAATATTAATATCTTTTAGGCTTAATTATGTTTTTGGTCCCTATAAATATTGGATATTTTGTGATAAGTCATTATAAAATTTTTTGTTAAGATTTAATCATAAAATATTAAAAAGTTAGGATTTAGTCCATGCCGTCAATTCTCCTTTGTTAAATGCTGAGCTGATAGACGGAAAGACAATTCAACTGTGACACATTACATGTCATGTCATTGATTTTATAATATATTTTTTTTAAAATAAATATTTGTAAAAAAATTCTTAAACATATTTTATATATTTGCAAAAAAAAATTCTTCTTCTTTCCCAACCCCTCTCCTTAGTAGCAACAATAGCCCTACTTCTCTCCACTTCAACCCCCAACCTCAACCTCAACCTTAACCTTTTTCACTCCAACTCCAACCTCCATTCTTCCAACTCCACCCTTTTTCCCTCTCTCACTTTCACTTCCACTTCCACTTCCACTTCCACCCCCTCCCCTTCCCTTTTCCTACACCCCACCTTACCCACCCCTTTTCGGCACCTGTTTACGACTCCCACCCTTTTCCTACCTCCATCCCGCATCCCTTCCATCTCCCTCTTC